AATACAACCGCTCACGTCCTTTTGCGCGTTGTTCGATCGGGGATTGATCTGCATGCAGGCGGAGACATCTCCCCCGGAGCGCGCTACGTCTGAGGAACCTCAACAGACGGGTCCCGTACGCCGTCCCTCACGCCGAACGGGAAATGCTGGTCAGCTTTTGATGGACAGGCTTCAGCAACTTCCGCGTCGGGCAAGCCTCAGATCTACGGCGAGCGCAGCTACAACGAGTGATTCACCTTAGGCAGATGGAGAAAGACTCGACGGCTACATTTGAGACGGAAATCATGATTGATGAGCCGCATCGACACCCGCCGCCGTCGTGGGAGCAGTGGATGGGGAATGGGGGCAACCTGCGCACGGGGGGCAAGGGGCAGCTGGAACCTTCGGCCGGGGATGATTCCGTCGCTTGAGGTCTGATGGTCGCCTTGAGAATATGATAAAAACAAGGGGTATCGCTTACTGCTCAGGGTGCATCGTTGTAGAAATACATGCCCATTGAGCGCGACAACAGTAGGGTGGTCGAGGGAGAGGCCAGAACGCCGGGGCCGGAAGTTTGGCAAGGTTTTGTCAAGAGAACGTTGCCGAGTAGGAAAATGTGACGGAGAAAACAGGTCCAAAGAGCGTCCGAGTCCATCAGACTTACGTTCAATATGGGCTCACCAGGTGCGGCATCAGAGTTGTAGTCCTCCGGTCTGTTGTACGTTGTACAAGGCCTCATGTTGGTGGAAACACCAAGAAAGTATTGTACTGAGTCGCACCGACGGTTTCACTCTCTCGGCTGTCGAAACATGCTCCGACGCCTTGAAAGTATGAAGGTTTCGTCAATGGTAACTTGGAACTTGGTGTTCTGTATGCAGTAGGAGTAGACATTGCTTGCCGCTGGGGGTGTGTGCGTGTGCGTGTAACGGCGGGTTGTCTTTACATCTCGTCGTTTCTTCAGCTTTCATCGGAAAACATTATTAGCCTACAACATCTTGCCCGTTCGTGCGGTGCCACGCTCTCCTACCTTGGTTCTGATGGGTAAAAACATCTCTCCATTCTTCCAATGGAGCTAGCTAGAGTTTCGCGGGTTTCTCTACTAAGCTTCCAAGAACACGGTTAGGAATATTGTTTCGTGCACGACTCAGGTACATGCCGTCCTCGGACACGGAGACACCGGGTCACAGCATGATGAACCACCTTGAAACTCGTTTTATTGGGGGAAACACGCAGGGGCTCAAGATCGCGGTGACAACGACAGCTGACGACACACACATGTCTATACACATACCTTGGTACTACATGCTGTGTACGCATCGGCCGATTGATGGTTCAACCTTTGAAAACAACATATGGACCGGTCCAATAATACCTGAAACGAACACGTCGGGGATGTATTTTTCGATGATTCACACTGCTAACAGAACGAGACGAAAAACGAAGTGTGCAAAAGCCACACACATTTTCGGGGCGATTCCCACCGCCCCGCCTAGGTGAAAATCGATCGGAAGAATATGTATGCTCATCGGCGGCAGCTCGGCCAAACGCGATGGCGTCTCTGCGTTTTCTATCTTCAGTTAATCCGATCCTCGAGGTCATATCCAAGTCAACTTCGACGCTTGTGGTTACCGAGACAACGTGAGCAAGCGCATCCGCTCTCTCTCAACCAGGAACGCACGGCACGAGGACGGTAGCTTTGTCAGTATCGATTCTGGCCGAAGTGGCGATTCAATCTTCAATCTCCAGGAAAGAACCAGTCTTGACGCCGCGTTTGGTATACTGGAGAGCGCTAAGCGCCAAGAACATCAATCTAACGTCGTATTCCGTTCGTGTCTCGAGTTTCTCGGTTCGGCCCAGATTTGTCCAGGAGACGCAAAGGCAAAATCACGCTGAAGATGGCACCGCTCTACAAGCTCAAATGCCCCCATGCATCGAAATACTCCGTGGCACGACGTGCCCTGCGACTGGATGGATTGGGGGACCGTCAAGCTTATGCCGACTGCCAGAGCTAATGCCAACTGCCAGGCCACGAAATTTCGTTTTCGATGACAGTTTGTTTGACTGTATCGATATTTCTAAACCTCGAGAATGAACCTCGCGTTTTCTCTTCAAGACACAAGCAAACTGCTCTGCATCGTGAGGGCTTATTTTTTTATGAAGAACTGTCGACGATTAGAGATGTTCGAATGCTGCATGACATTCACTTGCAGCCAACATCCTTCCATAATTACTTGGTGTTTTGGAGAGGTTGTCTGCCAAAGGCACAAACCCCGATGAGTCCGTATTGTGTGCCTTCTCAAGAGGGCTACGTGCACTGCTGCACGAGAACTGATTGCCGGTCGAATAACACCACAAGAGGCTGAGTGTTGAGAAAGAGACTTATGAAGGGGGCGATGCCGTTTGCCGTGTGTCTGTTTTAGTAGCACCAGCACGGGTTTTGTACTGCCTGCTATTTTCCTTAGGCCCCCTCTGCGATACGACGGCCCATCTTTCTCTCTCTTCTACCCGCTGTTGGGGTTGAACACGTTCCTGAAGGCCGTTGTGAAGCAGCGTTTTGCCGTTGAAGTGTAGTTCCGCATGTATTGAGGATGGGATTTGGTGGCAGAAACACGCCTTCCATGCAATAAGGTCTACCACATGGTCTCGGCAGGCCAGCACAACCTGACACTCACCTCATCCTCGCTCCGGCTTCCTTCCTAGAACCCCGTGGGACCGACCAAGACGATCAAGCGTCCCAAATACGGTCTGGGAGGAGTTCAAGGGTGCCGCTACGCAGATTTTTCATGATGGGGTGTCTCCTCCCAGTGCGTTGATGATGTTCTCTAGACGCCAGAACACCCTTCCGATGTTCGTAGTCCGACCAAATTTCTTGAAAAGTGTGGTAGGCACTGCCGACAACCACCTTTACGTGGAAACAGAATGTTGTCCATCGTTCTTGAACTTTGCGACAGATTCTCAGGCAATAGTGACCTGCTCAAGGAAAATTGGACGTACTACTCCCAACCGGTGGATGATGTTTAGCTTAGATATATAGACTGTACATATATATGAATGAGTTTTTCACCGTTGCCTCCACAGTGTCAACGCTTGGTGTCACTTCGTCTTTAACCCACCTGCTGTCTTGGAGATTCACGGCCCGTTGACACTTTACCTGGTGTGCGATGGAGGTGAGCGCGGCCGTGGCGTGCAGAAAACAGAAAACGCTGGCCGCTGCATCGCATGTACATGCGGAGTATCACGTTGTTCGATCGCGCTATTCCATCGGCGAACGAACCTCAGGACAAGAGCGGATGAGACTCAACATACCCTCCTCGCGCTCGGGAGTCAACGTAAGCTCGAACCTCGACGTTGTCGTTCGTTCTAGCAGGGGTGCGAATGGGTGAGACGCGGGGTGTTTCAAAGCAATGTTGCTACGGGTGTGGCCTGCGTATGCCGAAGCGCCTTGCGATAAATATGTTGCTAATACCTCTAGTTTGCTTTAGAGCCGTCCTATGGAGGTCCCATCCGCCCTTCTTGAAACAAGATGAGCATTCATTCACCATTGGCGAGCACGTCTCAGACACATCGGCAGCAGCCATCAATGGTAATCCAAACGGTTGCTTCTTGCATGTAAGTTAATCATCCCTTTGCTACCGGCTGCAGTATCGATACTGTGTGCCGAGCGAGCGTAACACGTCTCTGTCCCGGATGCACGTTGAGAATGGCGATATCCGCGAACCCCTCTCCTGCGTTCATCCCCACACTCCTACCAAGGAGACAGACTCCCGAAAGATTCATCGCACCCCCGTGCGGCCGTTTTGTAGAGATTCTCGTCATTCCATTTTTCATCGCACAGGGGCGCGATCAATCTGGGCCGTATGCAGAAATCGAATTAAAATCATTTGGTTTGGATATTCGACACGCACCCTTGTGTGATAGCTCCGGGATGTGCGGGGCTCGATCACATGTGTTTATAACGGGTGCCTCGGTTGTGCTGCGGTTGCAGGCCCCACACGTAACGTACACACACGCGCACATCAGTCAACCACAGGTAGGGCGGCGGATATCATTGGAGGGGAACACACATACATGCACAAACCAAATAGGTGGCGAAATAGCACGCGGCGAAATATGAAATCCCGTCCGTTGGCGGAAAAAACAGAAACCGAAATTGTCCCGCCGTCGAGTTGCGCGCACACGCGGCACACAGTCACTTGGCAATCGTGCCACAGGGTAGTTGTCTTGGCTTGTGGCTGCTTTTCTCTTATCCAATTCAATGACGACTTTCTATGTACGGTGTTTTTCATTTCCTTCGTTCCTCCAAAGGCAGGCGTGGTTTCGACAATGCCCTAGTCTATACACAGTGGAGCCTAAGTGCCAGCACCCCGGCGTGGTTACAGGAGAAAAGATCGGCACTCAACTACTGTAGTCTGCGAGTCATGCGATGACTCCGAACCCTGTGCGGAAATCGAATGATTCATGTGTAGAATATGTCTGGAGTATGTGGCCAATAACAATTATTGGGTTGTTGTTTTTCTTCACATTAGACTCGTGTCAGTTGCTAATCCCAAAATCTAGCAAAGACTCGGTCCGTGGTCACAAAAATGCTAGAGCCATCAGAAGATCTACAGAACACATACACTATTAGCAAGAGAAGGGTACGCAAGCCCGAGGAGGTACACATGCAATCCCTGCAGCACCATTGGGTGTATCCTATCGATGTTTTTCTTGAATACAGACAAGTCTACACACAGAAGAATCAACACTCCTTCTCCCTCTCTTTTGTGGGTCAAACGAAGTATGGCTGTCTGATGTCCTGTCTCTCTATCCAACATGTTTTCGAAGGAGATGGTGTTGCCGGTGAATTTATTTCGCTAACGTGGTCTGTATGTTGCTTGGGAGGGTCTCGTTCTTCAATCCTTTGCCGCGAGACTATGGGACGGATTCTCCGAAAAATGAATATTGGCGTTTGCGTGCGTGTAATGTGGGAGAGGGGTTCCGTTGTGTCAAGCCACCAGGTGTCTGCTACAAACGTGGCTGTTCACGCCCAGCACATGGCAGCCAGGCCGCCAGGAGAACAGAGAGCAATGAGCAACCAGTCGCCAGGGTGGTGTTGATGCATGAAGTCTCCATGAATCGCCCGCGAAGGGTGCTGCTGCCGGGATGGCCGAACAGGCGGATAACCCTTGGATTGGCGTTGGTATGGGTTACATGTGTCACGCGGTCGCGGTCTTTGCCTCCGGTTGCGTTTGTTGCGGGGGCAGTCTCCAGAGGTTGTTGCATCAACGGCAGCAGCGGGACATCGAGGAGCAATGGCGGAGACAGCAGTGGACAGCTCCTGGTGGGAGATGAGAGACTGTGGTTGAAATTCCTACCAGTCTTTTGTGATCAAGGGAAACCTCGAAGTATTTGCTCCAGGTGAGCGGAGGCGGGACACTTGAGGCAGGCTGGCGCTACTTGAAGTAGTTGTAAAGAGCAGTGCCCAAAATCGGGTACACCCGGTCAAAACACGGCCATAATCGGGCACCCCTACAAGACGCTGCTGGGAGCGACCGCATGACACCATCTGATTGGCCGACGCCCGCCCCTACCCGACCTTGACCGTCTTTCCACCGGGTGCACCCGATCTTGGCTTCTCACCCCCCGGAGGAGTACTCGGTTTTTCTTTCCCCTACCCGAAGATGGCTGGGCTGTTCGACCAAAACCTATGCACACAAGTACACGTCAGCAACGCCCTACCCTCGACNACCCGACCTTGACCGTCTTTCCACCGGGTGCACCCGATCTTGGCTTCTCACCCCCCGGAGGAGTACTCGGTTTTTCTTTCCCCTACCCGAAGATGGCTGGGCTGTTCGACCAAAACCTATGCACACAAGTACACGTCAGCAACGCCCTACCCTCGACTTCGGACGTTCTGACGGCCCGCCGGGCGGAGGCAGACCCACCCCCCGCCGGCGTTGGAAATTTCCATTGGGGGGAACGGCTGGCGGTCTGTCTGTGCAAATGATGTAGAAGAAGAGCTGGATGAATACCTCCCTCACGAGATGCGACACACACGGTCTCATGAAAAAATTGACTTAAGTCTCTCCCTTCCCGCTACTTGTTTGTTGGCGACAAACGAGTGCCAGTGGTGTGCGTCCGACCCGTGATTGTGTGCATGGGTTATGGTCGAACAGCCCAGCCATTTTCGGGTAGGGGAAAGAAAAACCGGATACCCCTCTGGGGGGCGAGTAGCCAAGATCGGGTGCACCCGGTGGAAAGACGGCCAAGGTCGGGTAGTGGGCGTCGGCCAATCAGATGGTGTCATGCGGTCGCTCCCAACAGCGTCTTGTAGGGGTTCCCAATTATGGCCGTGTTCTGACCGGGTGTACCCGATTTTGGCCACTGCTCATTTGAAAACGCTACAGTACAGTCAGCAGTATCGTACAGCTCGCCGTCGGATGCGGAGCACGAGAGCTTTGATTGTGTTCTAGCAGGGCAGCCCTGTTCCAGAGATACTGCCGTTATCATTCTCTTGCCCTCTTGCCTCCGCCCCTTTCGGCAAGGGACCGTGTGTGAGCGCTAGCGACGGGACAGAACGCACCTATGAGGTGTCATATCGTCATGTGCCTGGTACTACTGCTGCTGGTTAGACCTCGAGATTGCGCCGTAACGATAAAAAAAAAACAGCGGGCAGACCACCATTTTTCTTTTTCGTTGACTCGGTGGCCGAATTACTTATGTACTCTGATTTAGACTAGAAAACGGGCGCAAGTACCACTGGCTCCAGGTGGAGAGTTGACTCTTCGTACTCTGTAACAAGTACCACTGGCTCCAGGTGGAGAGTTGACTCTTCGTACTCTGTAACACTTGACTACAGACGCCATGAAGAGCCAGGACCACTTATTCTCTCCACACTCTGGAAGGCCGCGAACGTATGTTTTTCTGAGTGGTTTTGTCCAGTGCTCAATTGTTCTCCCTTGAACTCGAAAATTTGTTCCTGGTGATTTATAGCTTTGGTTTCTGCGCACACAGCACAAAAAACCGCGTCCCGATCCGAGGCGTTGCTGTTGAGGGGCACTTGCGCCCGTTTGGGCTCTCATGGGGGCAAAATTCTCGACATGAGCCCTAAAAATCGTGTTCGGTATATTTTTTTCAGCATTCGTTGCTCCACGACGCCTTTTTGGAGTGCACCGGAGACACGATTGGACATGCGCAAGAGGCCTCTCGAGGACGGCGACCACCTTGCCTTGCAGCTACGTGTACGAGCCCACGCTCAGAGACAGAAAAGGCAGCCGCGGCGAAGCGTTTCGCCATTCGTTGTGCTTGAAAGCGCGGGGCACGTGACACATCCTGAGAATCCACGCGAAAAAAGGGTGCCGAAAAATCGCGCGCATTTCCAAGCCTTTCGTCACCCGTGCTCCCGCCGCCCACAAGCTGCAACAGGTGACCCTGAGCAGTTGCGCCGCTAGCCCTGCTCACGCTGATTCTCGAAAGCCCTCAACTTTGCTCGTCCTCGATGAATTGGTCCCGATATGTTAGTGGGCGCAATTTGGGTGGAAGCCAGAGATTTGGGTCTGACTCGGCTGAAGAACTGGTCGCACGCTCCAACTTCAAGCTTTTTCTTAAACACGCTCGCGCACATATCGTGACCAATTCATTGAGGACGAGCAAAGTTGATGGCTTCCGAGAATCAGTGTGTGCAGGGCTAGCGGCGCATATGCTCAGGATCGCCTGTGGTAGCTTGTGGGCGGCGGCAGGACGGATAGAAACTTCACCTTGAACTGCCTCTGACGGCACCTTTCTTTTGTTTTTTGTTTCTTTTCCCTCCGCTCTCATCATTCGCATATGTTCCGACTTTGGTGCTGCTGTGAATGCACATGCATGCATGCGCTACTGCTCCAACTGATAGGCTATTCCAGTTCGCCTGATCCGCCAGTGTAGTGCACATGATCCTGTGCTGATGGTCCGGTCTCTGTGTGTGTTGTGTGCAGTGCACGTCGTACGCTTTGGTGTTGGTGACAAAGGTTACAAGTGGAGTCGTGTTTTCCAGCGTTTGGTGACGTAGCCACCTGTTTTTGGGATCGTGGATTGGTTGCTTTGAACTGGCTCTAGTCTGTTGGGCTACCAACCGCGGACACTTTTTTGGCCAAAATATATTGTCATCTCGAGGTCTAGCTGTGTTCCCTGCCAAAAGGCGGTCGGGAGTGTGTGACAACGAAAGCAGGTTGCGCTTCTCCCAAGATCCGAGATGAAGCTCTGTTCCTTTTATCACTCGAGCGACTAGGGGGAACCCTTGCGGTTTCTGATCTCCCCAGTTTCACGATCCGCCAAGGAAGTGAGCCCAATATCTGGCATGAAGTACTGTTTTTTCACTGCTGTGGGTCAGAGCTTTTGATCGTTACGTATCAACTACGGCAAAGTCTCATTTCGTCTGAATGCAGATTTCGAATTCGGAGCAGTCGAGAACATGGAACCGTAAACAATGCATGCATACGCCTCGTGACATCGGAGCGTGATAAACTGCTGAGATTTGCGCGCTTCTTATTGGCCCCCTCGTCTACCTCTTGCCGCCACTCCTCCTATCTAAGAGCTACTACATCCCAAGAAGGCGGCGGACACGGGGATACAGAGGGAGCGGAGGAGGGGGAAGGGCAAAGGGGGCCACGCGACGGGAAACAGGGCAGGGTACGAAACCAGGAGAGAGAACGAGCGCCCAGCGTCGGTGCTGCTGTTTACGTCGGCGGGGATACGGGAGGAGGCACACAGGTTAAGGGTGAGGGCGGCAAGAGTAAACGAGCGCGGCTTACTGCTGCGGAGAAAGCCCAACAAAAGGCTTTCCGGGGCAGGCGCATCGAGGACACGGTCGACCTCATGGAAACGTTGGTGAGCTGCCTGCGCGTGGCCTCACGCGTCGAAGTTGACACGAAACCCAACCGGAGAAAAGTACCCCCGCGCAGAGAGCCAATCAGCATGGTTCATCCAACAGAAGGAACGAGGCAGGGAGTATGTAAACGGTTTGCGTCAATCCTACAGAACTGGACTGCAGCCGGAGACATGTACTAGACCAAAAAAGCCTGCCGCTGTTGTAGAGGCATGGCTGCATTCGTTGGCATACGCAAGGGGATCCACGCCGGGCGCCCGCTACGGACGGCAAGGCTATATACCGAAACAAGTAACGCACGACCACTGGAGTCCCCGCGTCATGCACCACCCGCTAAATTCAACCTCACCGCTTCACGCCTTTTACCATTCTCCTGATACTTTTGTCCACTTGCGTTTGTACAAGATGAATTCGGAGGTAGACCTGCAGGACGTGCTGCGGCAGTATTCTTCTACCGCGACGGACGCGGAAGGGCTTCTGAAAGAGGAGCGCCTGGTCGGCGAGATAGCGCGCCCGGTCGTGGCGCGTATCAGGCGGTAAGGGTGGGAATCGATCGCTGCAGCGACTTCAGATCGTATCTCGAGTTGGACCACGTTTCGAACCGAGCTCCAAACGTCCATGGTCGGACCGACACATCATCGCCGACAGAGAGAGAGAGACGATCATCTTCCCGTTGCCTGGACCAATCCGGTCACCTTCGGGTAATTCCCTCGGGAGACGTCGGTACAAGTCCCTTAATATCTTCAACACTTGCCGTGTTGTCGGCAGCATCGATGCCCCGGCCCCGAGCTGTGTACTGTATGTTTTCAGTACGAGAAGTGGCCCTCTCTCGCCGGACTAAATAACAACCAGAGAGTACGAGAGCGTGATGCCAGGACCTGTGCGCTTGGGTTTGCACGCACGCACCTGCTTGTTTGTTGGCATGTGTGCTGTTGTGTCGTATGTACTTTGGGCGTTGATTTGGGGTTGCCAACTCCATCAGCGTTTCGTGCCGTGTGTGTGTGCTCAAATGTCCCGTTGTTTTGCCGCCTTTCTCTCCGGGGGACCCTGTGAAACAAGCAGGTACAGGACAAGGATTGCGGCCCTCAGGAGACAGGCGGCCAGGAGGCTCGCCGAACACGACCCCTCGACGAGGAGGGTGAGCTTGCCGCGACGCAGACAGTGTGTCAGTTTTTTTGCCGTTGTCGTTGTTGTTGCTGTTGGCTCTTGTTGTCGTCGTCGTCGTCATCGTTGTTGCTCTTGTTGTCCCCCCTGACTCTTCCCGATGCGTTATACATAGCACCCCTGATAGACTCCGTCGTTTTGCTGGCCTTGTTTTGCTGCTGTCCTGCGTACCACATGCTGCCCGTATACTGGGGGCACCGTCATCGCTGCTGCTGCTGCTGCTGCTGCTGCTGCTGCTGCTCTTGACCTTTTTGCTCTTCCTCCACCGTGCGCACGCGAAGCCGGAACGGAGGAAGAGAAAGGTCAAGCCCTTCCCGACGACGGCGAAGGAAATCGACGATTTTCTCCTCAGCTATAAAGTCACTGTTTGGGACGCGATTCGGTGGGCTGGGTTTTGCTGCCGCCGTTGTGGTGGCCGCTGTTGCTGCGACTGTTGTATGTTGCAAGTTGGATGAAGGTGGTGTTTGGTCCTTCCTTGGTGTAGGAATTCTGGGCACTGTGGCGTGTGTTTATGTGTGGAATCTCTGTCTGCTTATTTCGGTTTTACCTTTTTATGACGACGGCGTGCTGTTGGAGCTCGTCGGTTATCGCTGAAGAGCATAGGGCAGACCTGTGGTTTTTGGGCTACCGTGAGGGAAAAAATATCAGATAATAGTGTTGTAAAGCTCCACGAATGTACGCGAAACGGGCCTGTGTGGAATTTGTATGTTTTTGCAGTACACAGCCCTTTGAAAAGGCGACACGCACCCGATATGGCCATCTCAAGGACAACCCTTCCCAGGCGTGGTCATGAGCCGCCCGTGCCTTCGTCCCGTCGAAGCTGAACTCCAGCAACCGCTTCCTGACGCTCGCTCTTGTTTGTGTGCAGATCGTACGAAGTTATCACTACGGGCGAGAAAATTCGAAGGCAGAAGATAGCCCTGAGGTGTGTGTTTCGGTTGCGCGTGTTTGGAGACGTGAAGGACCCAACCAAGCCATCTCAGCAGGTGGTAAAAGATCCCAGGATCTACTGGTATCCCACATCGTGTATTCCCTGCGTTGGTCTCGTAGTACCACCCCTCCTCTCCCTCCCAAATCTGTGCTGTGGTCCCCGGTTTACTTGGTCCCAGTGACACTTTCTGTGTTGCGTCTTTGAGACTGGCTGATATTCTCCGACGACCGGTTTGGAAGATAGGGAAGGACGTAAGCTCGTCTATCGAAGTTACGTGGTATCGATTCACATACATATCATGCTAGTTTTGGTTCATTTCTTTAGGTCTTGTCAGTCTACGCAAGAAGGCCCTTGTTTCTGTTCTTTGGTTGTGGTGTCTCCGGTCCCTGAATGATAATGTTGTCTGATTGAAGGCGCTTATAGTTGATTTTCGCCTGAATTTTTCCACCAAATGCAGCATTACCGACCCCGTCCAATGGGAGGCGAACAGAATGGAAGAGCTCGAGCGGAAACGTGCCATGCAGAAAGACCCGGACGAGCTGCGGGAGGAGCGACGGCTCAGGTGAAAAACATTTGTGCGTGCGGGCCAACCTGGAGGCTTTCGACCGACTAGGATGTGCGAGGATGCTTTTTGGGCGACTCACGAGCGCGGAACTGTTGTTCTCTGTGCCCAGGACATCTTTGCCCATGTCATTTTTAACACCTGTTCATCCTCTGTGTCCCCCTCTCTGTCTCTTGGCGCCCTCGGTTTTGATTGCCCTCTTGGGGGGCCCTTGGTTTCAATTGCTTTCGACAATGTCCTTGGCCGTGTTTCCCTCCGCTCGTTCTCATCAAAACAGGGCCATCCGCAGGTACGAGACCAGGCGGCGGAACGGCAACTCGGGCAAGGGGAAGCCGAGGTCAAAGGCCGACCAGAGGAAGGCCGAGGAGCTGGCGGCCGCGAGGGCCGCGGCGATCGCCACCGGCCTCGCCACCGAGGCCGACTTCGCTCCCCCGGCCCCTAGGAGAGTCTTCAAGAAGGACATCCCCACCGTGAAGCGGAGGCGCGGCAGGCCGCGGAAGGTTCTGACGGAGGAGGAGAAGATGGCCCGGGCGTTGCGCCAGGCCAACGGCCCGCTGCCGAGAGGCAGGCAGCGCGACCTGACGGGCCCGCCGCTGCCGCTGGACGCGCCGTGCCACGTGACCGCCGCCGTCACCGAGAACGTGAGGGAGTGGATGGCGGCGGCGGCGGCGGAGGCCGCGGCGGCGGCGATGAGCAACGGGGTCCGGAGCGTGACCGCGGCCGACCTCGAGGCCCACGCGAAAGCCCTCGCCGTCTCAAAGACGAAGGAGGTTACGGGGGGCGGGGGGCGGGGGGGCGGGGGCGTGTGGACGGCGGGGATGACGAGGATCGCGCTCGCCGGGATAGAGGCGTGGAAGGACAAGTGGAGAGAGATTTATCCTGACGCCGTGACCGGGCCCGGCACTAGTTCCTCGGGTGCGGCGGGAGAAGAACAAGGCGGGAACAAGTCTCCGTTGCCGTGCCTCGCTCATGGCAGTGGTGGCGACGAACGAGACGCCGGGGAGGGAGAAAAAGAGGTAGAGAGTAGAGTCGTTGGAAGGGCTGGTGGTAGTGGTGGTGCCGCCGCGGCCGCCGCTCCTTCGAGAGGCGACGGAGCTCGTGCGGAGATGAGAGATTCTAGTGCCGGCCGTGACGGTGGCGGCAACAGCGGTGGTGATGGTGTTGGTGGGGCTGATGCTTGTGCTGCGGTAGGGCCATAATTGGCTGTTTTGACTTCGGTGATGGGCAGTCCAGATTGCAGTCAGTCATGGAGGGTGTTCGCCTCCGGTTATCGCGATCGTCGTGGGCGCTATTAGGGTGCATCTACTGTCGTTGATTTCTATTGACTTGCGAACCCCGGGTCCATTCATTTGCGTTTACCTCTTTTGGGTGAGTTAGCCTCTGACCACGGGAATCGACCGCGTCAAGTGTTGGACTGTTACGGACAGAAGAAGGTACTGCTTGGTGGAGAGAACGGAACGTTTTTTTTGTGTGAAGACAACACCAACAACTAGTCTAATCGCTGTCATTGGTATTCTTGCTTACGCTTGGTAGCTGCCATTTTCACCTCCGGAGACGCCAAACAGTTAACATAAGTTACTGTAGGTCGGCATTTCTTTATGTCCCCTACCTCTTATGGTTTTCTTGTGGTACTTCGCTCCTGTGTGTTGTGGCTGCACGGAGCCGTGTTGTGCGTTCTTGGTTGTTTTCGGAGTGCTGGTGTGCCTTGCACACTCGGTAAGGTTCGTGATTCCGTGTCGATACCTAAAGCCAACTTGCGTGTACCGGGATGATCCGATGAAGGGTGCAATATCTTCTTGTGTCTGTGGGTGCGATGCGGTGTCATTTCAGGATTTTCTGGCTTGATTTGGTGTTTAAAGCGTATGGAGGCAGCACGCACACATGCGTCTGTACATGCGATGTACCAAATAAAAACGCTGTTTCAATCTCTCTTTGCCTCAGTTGTGGCGCGCCTGTGCAATGCCTTGGAGAGAACATTGTACCACCGAATCAATGACGAGCGAAAGCATTGTGTGGCCGTGTACACTACGAAGGTGTCCAAAATTTCAACGATCGAGCCTCCAGCAGCAGCATATGTCCAGGGCAACTTTCTCCTGGTTCTAGGTCCTCCTCGGTGCTGTGTCGGTGCTCTCTGCTGTAGAGTGTTACAGGATCTACGGGCACACTTCGGCACTACTCGCATGCGTTATTGCACATAGCAGCACACGCATAATTGATTGGATTGGAAAAACAAAAACAAAAAAATCCTCCCGCAGATGGGATGGTGGGTTCCGCAGATTCAGTATACTACCCCCCAGCTATGAGGTTGTACCTTTTGTGACACCCTCGCCCCAAGCGATCCGGAGCGAACAAGCTTCGTGTATCCCAACTGACAAGCAATACGGAGGACAGGGAAGAGAGAACGTGAGCGCGCCCAGCACAATCGAATAGCACTCGCTACAAGGACCGACGACGCGACCATGAACGGACGTGGACCGATGCCCTGCCGGTTTGGCGTGGACTGCCACAGGAAAGATTGTTGGTACTCTCATCCCGCAGGGCGGTCAATCGATGCAGGCGGCGGCGGCGGCGGCGGCGGCGGCGGCGGCAGCAACAGTCACGGTGCGATGCCCAACGGAAGCAATGGTGCAAGCGGTCCATCAGGCAGGGCTGTTGGTGGCGGCGGCGGAGGTGGCGGTGCGAGACCTGGGATGGTGCCTGGCGGGATGATGCCTCACGCATATCCCAGGCCAGCGGGAGGTGGTGGGAGAGGGGACAGGGGAGGAGGAGGAGGAGGCAACAACGAGTGTCGCTATGGGTTCCAGTGCAAGCGCGAGGACTGCCACTTCAGCCATCCGCTTGGTAAGA